CCGTCAACAACACAGGAACCTACAGCCCTCACGCACACACAGTACAGACAGGGTAAATCACACACAAAAACAGACATAGTACATGTGCATTTATACGTAAAAATAATGAAAAGGATCACCTGCTCAGCTTGTACAATCTTCGCAAATTTGTGATGAGAATTGTTAATAAATTGTTAATAAAGTTTTCCATTAAAAAATGCTTTTAAGATTAATATATCAGTAATGCAATTTTACATTTGTTTTGTAAAATAATAATAAAATGCGTGTTTTTTTATTTTACAGTACTTACAATAGTTTTATTACTGTAGTAATATTTCTTTATTGGTTTGTGTCATTTATATAATTTAATAAAATAAAATATTTTATTAATAATAATAATAATGTATAGTCATATCGAATAGGTTCCATAAAAAAAACAACAGTGTGAATTGTTTTAATTATTTTACATTTTTTAATTATTTTAATTTAGCCTTCATTATAACTTTTATTAACACTTGTCTGTTATTCGAGTCTAAACCTCAACTAGAGTGCAACTAATTTACTAAACAGTATTAGTATTGTAAAATAAGTGGATCTGGTTAACTAGCTCATGTCCTACAAGGTGGAATGAGTTTTTAGTTGTCGTTACTTATGTATTTGTGTGTTACAGGGAGATATCGGTGGAGAAGTTGAGTTTAGACTGTGACTCGCCAATGAAGGTGGACGTTCGGCGAGATGTGATGGACACAAGCACTCCGGTGAGAGACTTTCTCTATAACTCCTCCCCTTTCCTATTTAACCCCTCCCCATCTCCCTGTAACTCCTCCCCTCTCTCTGCTTCTTGGCACAGGAACGACAACAGGCCACTGAGCCCGTCTCTGCTCCTGACCTCACCACACCTGAACGCCAAATCAGAACACATTCACTGAGCAGGTACACTCAAACACAGGATATAAAGATTCCCAGGTATATCTGAGTCTTTATAGTGGTTTCTAAGTTTGTGTGTGTTTGTGTGTGAACAGTAAACAGAAGAAGACTGCTTTGAGCCTGCTGGATTTCAGACTAATAGCTGTTCTTGGCAGAGGTCATTTTGGAAAGGTAGTCTTCATCCTTCCTTGCCTTCTATCATTTCTTTGATCCTACAGCTTCTCCCCTCCTAGCATTCGCTCTGAAATTCATCATATCTGTGTCTGTCAGGTTCTGTTGACAGAATACAAGAAGTCAGGCAGTATGTATGCCATTAAAGCCCTGAAGAAAGGAGACATCGTGGCCAGAGATGAAGTAGAAAGGTAAACAAAATAACTTTTTCCTTGTTGATTCCTTCTCTTTTCATGAAATGAGTTTTTAATTTTTTTCTTGTTTCTTTCTCTCTTTCCCTCAGTTTGATGTGTGAAAAGCGCATTTTCGAGACCGTGAACAGTGCACAGCACCCCTTCCTCGTGAACCTGTTTGCATGTTTCCAGACCCCAGAGCATGTGTGTTTTGTCATGGAGTACACGGCAGGCGGCGACCTAATGATGCACATACATGCAGACGTCTTCACAGAGCCACGAGCTGTGTATGTAAACCCTTTTGTCAGGTTTTACTATTCCAGACTGTCTCCACAAATATCAAAAAACCTAAAATTACACACACTACTGTTCAAAAGATTTTTTTTATGTTTTGAAAGAATTCTCACCAAGACTGCGTTTATTCGATCAAACATACAGTAAACAGTAATATTGTGAAATATTATTACAATTTTAAATAACTTTATTCTATTTTAATACATATTAAAATGTAATTTATTCCTGTGATGCAAAGCTGAATTTTCAGCATCATTACTCCAGTCTTCAGTGTCACATGACCCTTCAGAAATCATTCTAATATGCTGATTTGCTGCTCAAGAACTATTTATTATCATTATCAAACAGTTAAAAACAGTTTTGGTGCTTAAAGGTGGGGTAAGTGATTTCTGGTAGCCAATGTTGACATTTGAAATCACAAAAACAAAAACGCCCATACCCCAAAAGTGTCTCGCCCCTATTTTGACAGCTCCGCCCCACACATACGTATGCAATCCAGGCAACGATTAGTTCTGTTAAACAAAGCAAAACCAATGTTACACCGTGTCTACACCGGATGCGAGTGGCGCGACTAAATACTATAGAACTCATTATAATCAGTGATGCTGTCTACACTGGATGCGGCGTGGCATGACAAATCCCCGACAGAAAACTGCTGCTGCGTTCTATTTATGACGTATTGACACAAATTTCGAATGATTTTCAACGGTCGCTTTGTCGCGTCCAGTGTATTAGACAGACTTTAGCTGTTGTGGCGCAGACACGGTGTTACTCACCTATCGAGAAGAAACAAAGCAACCTCGGCGTCCGATCGCAGGCCTCCGCTCCTTGAGGTCTCTCCAGCGCTGGAAAGCTGATTCGATATTTACACGGGTCCTACTTCTTGCCTTATTGCCTTAAGCCTTCGTTTGTTCCGCAGATGTTTTCCTCTTTTGTTTTTTATCTTCTATCTTTCTGTCGCTCGGCTAATTTCCGTCATGTGCACCGAGCGCTCTTTCCTCCACATCATGAGTAGACATGCCCCTTACTGCTGATTGGCTACAAGTTTGTTTTGCTAGTCGGCCCGACTCAGTTTTCTAAAGCGTTTTTGAAAAATCGCTTACCCCACCTTTTAATATTTTGTGGAAACCATGATACATTTTTATATTCAGGATTCTTTGATGAATAGAAAGTTGATTTATTTGAAATAGAAATCTTTTGTAACATTGTAAGTGTCTGTCACTTTTGATCCATCAGAAAATGAAATGTGTCCTTGCTTAATAAAAAATAAGAAAGTTACTTACTGACCCTAAACTTTTGAACTATAGTGTATATTGTGGGGACAAAGAGCTTAAAACATTTTGTTTGTTTATGAATTAACTTTAAAGAAAATGTGTGATATTTAGGTTTAGGGGTAGAAGATAAAGTAGGAAATATAATTTAAAAAAAATTTTTGTTGACAAGTTTTGTTTGTGTGTGTTTCAGGTTCTATGCTGCTTGCGTAGTTTTAGGGCTTGAGTTTTTACATGACAACAAGATTGTGTACCGGTGAGTATGCAAAAAAAATGTGTGCACATGTTCTGGCTTTGTCTAAAGAATGTTATACATGTTTTAAATACATATTTGCATATATTTTTGGGTTTTCCCTCCAGAGATCTTAAATTGGACAACTTGCTGCTTGACACAGAGGGTTACGTGAAGATCGCCGACTTTGGATTGTGTAAAGAAGGTAATGACTTTTTTCACTTACCTTTCTACGTGTCCTTCTGTTGATTGTGCTTGATATGAAGTCAGGAGCATTTGTCAGACACGTTTTTGTCTCTTTCTCAGGGATGGGTTTTGGGGACCGGACCAGTACGTTCTGTGGGACTCCAGAGTTTCTGGCTCCAGAGGTTCTAACAGACACGTCGTACACGCGGGCCGTGGACTGGTGGGGACTCGGAGTGCTTATATATGAAATGTTGGTGGGAGAGGTGAGAAATTTAAGCATTTAAATTTGAATTGTTTGAAACGTTCGTACAGTTTTGGCATCTGTCCGATCTAAATCTGTCTTTCTAGTCCCCGTTTCCAGGTGATGATGAAGAGGAGGTTTTTGACAGCATAGTGAATGATGAAGTTCGTTATCCACGGTTCCTTTCCTCAGAGGCCATTGGCATCATGAGGAGGGTAAACATCTCAAACAGAAATGTCTTAACTACATGATTTTCTGCATATAATTTTATGTAAATTTAAATTTGACATACTATTTTAAACAGTTACTAAGAAGAAATCCAGAAAGACGACTGGGTTCCAGTGAGAAAGATGCAGAGGATGTAAAGAAACAGCCTTTCTTCAGGGTAAGAGAGATCTTTACTTTTATAAACACTAATAATATGTAATTTTATGTGAAATACTAAAAATTTTAAATGTAATCTTTAACAAATATCTTTTTCAAAAAGTGTCTTTTTCGTACTGTAAATGAGGGTTTCCCAAATGAGGGTTCATGGTCCTTTAAGGGTTCATCAGTTGATGAAAACTAATAATTAATCATATCAAATGTAAAATTAAAATAAACAAATAAATGGAGCTGCACAATATTTGTGATATAGTGTAGTTATCAAAATAAAAGCTGCAATATAATTAAATAACTGATGCGCTGGGTGTTTCAGTATGAAGGATGCATCACATTTAATTATTGTAATAATCAAATGTTTTTATTATTTTTCTGTACAATTGTAATTACAACAGTAATATATTTCTGTTTTCATTTTTAAAATTAGAATTAAAATACTACTACTAATTATTATTATTATGAGTGACATCAGAGAACTGTGAGCATGCAAATGTGTCATTAAATTATTGAAATATTTATTATTTCTATTATATATATTTATATCCAAGGGGTTCGGCTGACAAAAAAGTTAACTAAGTTTTTAAAAAGTTTTTAGTTAAAAACTAAACATATTGTTGTGAAGCCTATATTCATTTCTAACATTTAAATTGTTTTTTTTTATTATAAATTTTTAAATTATAACAGAATTTTATTATCAGCCATTTATCTTTTATCAGTCACAACAAGAATATAATTATTGCTTTAATTTTAATATCTTTTTAAGTTCAATATCGGTGCATCCCTCTTTTTAAGTTATTGTTTATAAGTTATTTTTTTGGTGTTGCATTTGCAATTTTGGTTTGCGTATGAAATGACGGCATAAATTCTAACATAACTAAATAAATGATATGTTCATTCACATACTTTTCACTTTTCAGAATATGGACTGGGAGGCTCTTCTCCTCCGTAAACTCCCTCCTCCCTTCCTTCCGACTATCGGAGGAAAAGAAGACATCAGCAACTTCGATGAGGAATTCACAACAGAAGCGCCGACTCTCACGCCGCCTCGCGAACCCCGGGTGCTCTCGCGCAAGGATCAGGACAGTTTCTGTGACTTTGACTATGTCTCTGACCTCTGCTGAGAGCGTCTTCACTGTGATAGTGCCATGGAGAGACATTTCTGCTCCGTGATGACCAGGACAAGAGTGGCCAATTTGAGTGTTTTGTGTGAATGTGCTGGACCTGTGAACACTGTGATGGAAGAAGAAGAAAGCCTGAAAACAGTTAGGCTGTGTCCGAAATCGCCCCCTATACCCTTAAATAGGGCACTATTTGAGGGAACAGCCATTTTTAGTGGTGTCCGAAACCATAGTGGACGTTCTCGAGTGCACTCATTCAATCCCACAATGCACTGCAAAAACGAGTGTACAACTGGTGCACGCTCAACGACTAGAGAATGCCCATAATGCACCGTGAGAGTCATGCGCCGAATTAATTCCCCCATCTCGCCAGAAGATGGCGCCCGCAGCTGAATAATCAATCCGTTCATTTTTACAAAGCGCTCATCCATGGCGTACAGCATAATGTTCAACACGGGTATAAATTCATTGTAAATTGATTATTAAATTGTTTGATTAGGGTTTATACATAATTTCCATGACAGAGTTCAAGATAAATCATTTAATCTTACTACTGGAGCTGCTAGTTTGCTAGTTTCAAATGATTAATAAACAGCAAGCACAAACTATGCAAAAGCGGCATTCCTTCCGGTGCACTCAGTGTCCGAATTCACTACTCGTTTTCAGTCGGTTTCAGTTTTCTAGTGAACTGAATTAGTGACCTAATGTAGGGAATAGTGAATGAGGGTATAGGGGCAATTTCAGACACAGCCTATGACATCCAAAATTTTCTGAAGACAGTCGGTTTCCTTCAGAAATACAGTGATATAAAAACACCCGCACCGGATTTCGATTTTGAAACGTGCATTGCTCATGTTTATTCAAATCTGAATACTTAGGACCATGTGATATTTCAGTTTTTCTTTTTTAATAAATCTGCAAAAATGTCAACAATTCTGTGTTTTTCTGTCAATATGGGGTGCTGTGTGTACATTAATGAGGAAAAAAATTTACTTAAATGATTTTAGCAAATGGCTCCAATATAACAAAGTGAACAATTTAAGGGGGTCTGAATACTTTCCGTACCCACTGTATATATATTATACACACACACACACATACACACACAAAGAAAAACAAGTAGATAGAATAGAAAAAATAGAATGCTAGTGTTTGTTTGTTTGCAAGAAGACACCTAAGAGTAGGTACTGAATGGGTTTTGTACTATCGTTACTGCAAAAACTCACATTGTTACAATTTAAATACATGCGACAAGACTTTTTTACAATTTAAAAAAAGACATTCTTTACCATTTAAAAACATTTTTACAATTTAAATATGGTCATTAAGACAGAAAGCTTGTTTCTTACCAGCAGGTTTAAAGGTGCATTTGATCTTTTTTTTTTTATATTGCGCCTCGACTCAGACTGACACCTAGTGGTTTGGATGAAGCATCACGCTAAAGTGTTCAGTTACAGATTCAATTGTAGAAAAGCATTATTCACAGTCAGCCATGATTCATTTATTCAGCTGGTGAAAGTGTCCAATAACAGGTGTGTTACTGAAATGAGTGAGTAACGTTCGGCTGGTCATGTGATCTCAACAGGGCGGCCCCCATCGGACCTCTTCATGTAAAATAAAACTGCTTTTATTAGGCTACTGATATGACTAGTGTCTTCATCTCATGTGAATGGTCATACTTTTAAACTCTAGTCAGAAGTAATATTTATTTCTTTAAATAACTGTGTTTTTAAATGAAAAAAAAAATGACAGTGCACCGTTGAACTTGTTGAAATTGTTGGTTTGTCTTCAAGTGTCATATCTACTTTTGAAAAATGCATCTTGTCTTAATAAAGACAATGTGAAGGTATATTTCACAACTTCAAACTTGAAGCAAATCAATAAAGGTCACACAGAAACATCTCAGTGAGCTTTTGTAAATGATACGACCAAGAGCATGTTGGGAAATGCCTTTCTGCAGACATTCTGACGTTATATGGATAAAGAGAGTTACGCTGAAAGCTGGATTATTTAATTGGCTAATTTAGGCTTGAACATTAATGGATGTGTACTTGCTCTTGGGAGTTCTCAGTGGTTAAGGAGTTAAACCTCTTTAGACTTGTTCATTCTGGGTGTTTCTCATACATCTTCAAGCGCTTCATCTCTTACAAGTTACATGTGAAAGTCAAGCATATTGAAATATAGTAGAGCAGTCCTTTTTGAAGACAGCTTGATCTCCATTCATTAAGTGCACTTTTAATACACTCTAAAAAATGCTGGGTTGTTTCAACCCAATGTTGGGTCAAATATGGACTAACCCAACTGTTGGGTTAAATTTTGGTTACATTTTTAAATTAGCTTTTTAACCCAACAGTTGTGTTAGTCCATATTTGACCCAACATTGGGTTGAAACAACCCAGCATTTTTCAGAGTGTATGGTTACCTTTATGAATTTTTGCAAAAACAAACAAACCTGTTACATAAACAAAATGCCTTAAAATATTGTTCCTGTCTGCCCTGGTTTTTGTTCGTCCTATTTATATATTTTTTCACTTCAGTGAACTAGCGTTAGCCTGGCGGCTAGCTGTGTTTAGCAGGCCCTGATACTCACATATCAGTCGGTTCTCACACAATGTCAGTCTTCATGTGGGAATATCTTCATTTAGAGAAGCTGTTGGTGTTTAGTGTCGGAAAATCATCAGTCATGACAGACTTGTATTGTTTTGAATCGCTGGTTTGGTTTTCTCTGAGACTGTCAGTAGTCTGCATTTAGAGAAAAGGTATGATTTTTTTCTTCTCCTTTATAATTGAACGTTAGTGTCTTAAGCTTTTTGTCCCTAAAGAGGACTGTCTCGACATGGCCACATTGTAGTGACCGTGATGAAGGGATCGTGTCAGGAGTGACATTTCAGATCATTCAGTGTATTTTGACATTCATTGTATGTACAAGATTGGGGTTGTTCCTGCATGAGTGAAGTGTAAGGTCTGTTCTCTGAGTTGATGTGCTGATGTCCCAGTGCTTCACGCTCCTGGACGCTCAGTGTTCATGTCATTCTGTCTTGTGGTGGTTCTTTTTTTATACCCTGATCAAAAACTCTTTCAGATGGTCAGTTTGTGGTTTTAAATGATACAGAAATAATTTTGAGCATCTGGATTTTGTTACATGCTTGTAGACTGATTAAAGCCAGTAGACAACATATGCAAACTGGTAACATGGTAAATGGTCAGGATATATATATATATATATATATATATATATATATCAGTGAAAAGTAAAAGATCTGAGAGTTAGTTGTTGATTGTGTGAGACTGCATTCTATTTCATTTTATCTGAGAATTAGTTTTTAAGGTATTTTTTGACCCAAAATGAAAATTGTCATCTGTCACCCGAATGTTGTTCCAAGAAAAAATGTGTTTGTCTTCGGAACACAAATGAAGATTTATTTTGTTAAATTTTTTTAATTAAAAAAATCTGAGAAATTTCTGTCACTCCATTGAAAAGTCTTTTCACACAAAACTCTGATGCTTCAAAATGTTCGTAAAAAGGGATAAAAATAAAAAGAAATCAATCTCAGTTGAGTAATTTAATCCAAGCCTTCTGAAGAGACACAATCATTTATAACATAAACATAATTTATGCTTTTACTCACATAAAAAAACTTCAGGGTGAGTAAATCGTGACAGAATTGTCATTTCGGGGTGAACTGACCTTTTAAGCCTTTTTGTTGAATTTATAAGATTGGCTTTTATTTGATCTGAGAGTTAGTTTAAGCCTTATTGGTGTGTGTTTGAGTTTGTTGAGTGTATGCGAGTTCGACTTTTATTTTTTAGAGTTATTTATTATTTATTTGTTTTGTTGTTTAGTGATCAATTTAAAGTTATAGTTCAGCCAAACATTTAAATTCTGGCATAATTTACACACCCTCAAGTCGTTCCAAAACTGCATGACTTTCTTTCTCTTGTGGAAGAAGTTTAAATGTTATCATCAAATCCCAGAATATATATATAATTATAGATATCATTTTTTGTTGCTGTTAATATCGTACACCCTTACATGTAAATGATGACAGAATTTTTGTTTTTGGGTGAAATTTCCTTTTAATTGATCATAGTTTCAGCTAATAAAAATGTAGTATTGTCTCCGATATAAGAAATATTAAAATATTTAAATGCATTCGGCTGAATTAACAGATTTTCCCCATATCATACTCTGTCATTAGCTGGATGTGTATGTAGTTTTTTTTTCAGATGGTGTCAGTATTATTTAGGTTAGGTGGAGTGTGATCGATCGTGTTGAAGGTGAATCATAACGTTTGAAGAGAGGGATGCAGTGATTCCTGGAGGTGTGTGTGTGGGCTTTTAGTAACGAGTGTGTGTGTATTTTCTCTCCTCTGTATCTAGTCATCGTGATCCAGCTCAGTCCAGCTCCAGCCCCCTCCCAGCGCGCAGGTACCACCACCACCACCATCATCATCATCATCATCATCATCATCACTACATCACGCTGCATCTCCCTCTCCCTCTCTCTCTCTCCCTCTCTCTCTCTTTACCTTGCAGGTTACTTGCACTACATCACCCTCTGCATCTCTATTGTGCTCTCTTCTCTTTCTCAGTCATCCTTCTCCATTTTTAAAATTCTACCACCTCTCATTCTTTTTCTCTCTTTCCCACACTCTCTATCAAAAAGTCAACATGAAATGACACTCACTTCTCTTTTTACATTCACAGAGTGGAATGAAACCGAGTGTTCAGCAATAATAAATGCAGGGCAGGACTTGATTTTATCTATCAGTAATTGATTGGATGTGAAAAGCGGTCTCTATATGACAGGTGTATGTCAGATGAAAAGCAAAGTTGTTTCAGAAGCAGAGCCTAGTTGCTACATTTTGACGAATGATCATGAATGCTCTGGATTAATGTGCACTCGTGTATAGTTCAAAATGGGGTTGTAATGTGGTATTAAAGTAAAATGCGATATCTTCATTTTGCAAATTGACGTTTGTGATCCAGATGAATATTGTATAAATGTTTGTGGTCTGTAAAATCTTTGAAATTTTGAAAAATTTTCTTAGGCTCACCAAAGCTGCATTTATCTGATCAAAAATATAGTAAAAGCCGTGATAATTTATTACAGTTTTAAAATAATTGTTTTCTGTTTTTAAAGAACTGTTTTAATATATTTGTAAGTGTAATTTATTCCTGTGATTGCAAAGTAAAATTTTCAAAATCATTCTAATATGCTGATTTGCTGCTCAAGAAACATTTATTTTCAATGTTGAAAACTTGTGCTGCTTAATATTTTTTGTGGGAAAAAAAACGTTATAAAAATGATATAAATATACCTTTTGTAACATTATAAATGTATTTACCATCACTTTGATCAATTGAATGCATCCTTTCCGAATAATACTGAATAGTTAATTTCTTTCAAATAAATAGCCAAACTCATTGAGCGTGTTAACTACAAAAAGCGTTAAGAATCGTATGTGAATTAATTATTGAATAACTATTTAACTATTGAATATATTGTCAGCCATTTTAGTCATATTTTTGGTATTGATTCAACCTTAAATCCACAATAAATTCTGAAAAGTGACTAATGAAGTAAATGGGGTCAGTTTTTATTTCATGTTGGCTTTAATCTCATACAGCTTTCTGTCATTAATCTCACTTACATAAGCATTTCTTTCATTTCATCAAATGCATGATGTTTGTTTAGGGAACTCGGCCATTCTCCTACTTTCATTCTGAAATCTCTTGATCTTAATCTTACTTCTTCACTTCTATATGTCTGTATTAAAATATCATCTTCCTCTTTTTCATTTCTTCAATTCATTCTCTCATTCTCTTTTCCACCTCACCATGAAAAAGGAGCAGCAAGCGTGTGTGTGTGTTGTGACTGTGAGACCTATGTGTAGGATTTGTTGGAAGATCAGACATAATGCATGTTGTGGCTATAACTGCACGGCCCGACTGTGAGCGAACACATCCACACAAACACAAAGCTATGGCGGCACTCGACAGTGTGTTCTGTGTTCAACTGTAACTTGGGTTTGAGCTTGTCTGGCCTCTCCTGTCTCTCACCTCTCTGTCCGTTCTTTCTGGAAGAGACAGCTTCGGCTCTGTTTTCTGCACAGATGTGGATTACGGCCATGTTGGCTCCTGTATGTGCGTGTCCAGCAGGTGTTTCTGCACCAAATTGCCTGACCTCACTGACTAACCCAAGCTAACAGATTCTCTCCCATGAACAGGTTTTCCTGAGGAGGAATCAGAAGTTCGACGGTTATCCATTTCTCCTGAAAAAGCAGTGTTGTTTCTATGCTCGAACAACATATGGGAAATCTATATGTTTTGCACGGTTTGGTGAGCAAATGTCACCCGTTGGTGACTCCTGCTTGTCCCGGTGCATGCTGGGAATGCTAACACTAACTCCAATGGCTGGTTTTCACTGTTTGGCAGCCCTTGTCATTTCTGTGTGTGTCTGATCTTGGCATGACTTGAACTTTTATTTGACTGATGTTTTCTCAGGATTTTAATTGGTCACAAATGTCACCTCGGATGGTAAAATGGGCTTTCTTTAGACTCCGTTTCCTCTAGATAGTCATTAAACATTCACCCAAAATGTGTTCCACAGCTCACTATTAGGATGCAGTGAATTTCATAAAAATTGTCATGAAAAATCTAGGTCATATTTCAAACGATTAATAATAATAATAGTTATAATAATAATAATTATTATTAATATAAAGCTAACCTGTTATTATACAAAATAAGATAAAATATTACAACTAATAATAATGCACACATTATCATAAAAATCTATTTTATAGTTTTGATTTATTATTATTATTATTAGATAAATGTTTTTATTTTTATATTAAATGGAATAATAGTTATAAAAACAATACTTATAATACAATACAAATATTCATTAGTTTTTATTTTATGCATAACAATTTTTGTTTTTGCAATAAAACAAATCTTTTTGTATTTTTTATATTATCAGAAAATTCAGAATTTGATTTAGAATAATGTTTCATTGTGACACTATTTTTATACATGTTACCCCAATTCTCAGTAGCCTACTGTACTATGAGGGGAAAATAGACCTCAGATTGAATCTGGATCAGCTGTCATATTCTGGGCCCTCAGACCTGAGGATCTTAATTTAGGGTCCTTAAACATTCATTAACATTTGTCCCAGTAATGAACGTGAATTGACGGTCACTGGCTTCCTGTCTTCTGTTCTTTCTCTGACTCCTTCCAACCTTCTTGTCTTACTCTACAGCCCTACAGTTACCATTGGCCAACGATGGAGGAAGTCGCTCGTCCTCCTCAGAAAGCTCTCCTCAACACCCCTCGTACCCTAGCAGACCTCGACAAATGCTTACGCTTCCCACCCCAACCTACAGCCTACAGAAGAGTCTGGAGAAGTATGTCACACACACAGCATAGTGGAGTTTGCTCGGTTCTCATTTTAAGAATGTAAAAGTCTGGTGTGTTGATCTGTTTATTTTTTTTATCTTCAGTGCTGAAATTGACCAGAAGCTGCAGGAAATCATGAAACAAACTGGATATCTGAAGATTGACGGACAGGTGAGTCATCGGTCATATTCTGGAGTTATTGAATGTGGCAAAAGTGTCTGACCTCTTGAGTGTGTATCTTTTTCAGCGTTACCCTGCAGAGGTGACGGATCTGATCAGTGAGGGGGAGATCGGCAGTGGAACCTGTGGACAGGTGTTTAAAGTTCGCTTTAAGAAGACTGGCCATGTCATCGCAGTTAAGGTCTGTTCAGCTCCCGGTTTCTCTGCTCAATCTGTTGTCCCTGGTAATGCAGAGTTAGTCTGTTTTTTATTTTTTGGGATGGGATTTTTTTTTTTAAGGGTTTTGAAAACTTTTGATCAACAACCCTAAATATGATGAATCCCTTGCACTTGTCATTGTACTAAAGCCAAAAGAAATTCAAATATCCAGAAAATGCATACATTTTTGGATGAAGCCGTTTGTTTATCCATGTTTTTGTTGTCTTGAACTTTCTTTGTAATTATGGAGTCATTAAAACAGCTGTTAAGGCAGGAGTAATTACTGTTTACTAATTACATCACTGCTTTTGGTTTGTGTTCTAGTAGTGTTTATGTTGAGCGTGTTTCCTTGATGTGTGTTTTTCCCTGCAGCAAATGAGGAGGACAGGTCTACATTTTGTTGAGCCAGCACTTGTTTACTTGGATTACTTTGCTGACCAGCAGTTGGATTTGTGTAGGGGGTCTTATATAATTAATTAGGATCACTCTTTTAATTACTTTTTATCAAAAGTTTGGGATCACAACAGAAACTAATACATTTATTTTGCTAGGAATTAAAACATTAAGCTCTGCCATCACAGTTAGTTTGAATTGTAATAATATTTTACAATATTTCTGTTTATTTAGATTTTAGGGCTGCACCATTAATCGAAATTAAATCACAAAGGCGATAAATTGCTATTAGGCAGAAGCTGCGATTGTCATGCGTATCTTTCAGTGAAGCACGGTTCTGTGATCAGCAGTAAATCTCCATCCGAAGGCCAGAGGGCGCTCTCGCGCTGAAACTCCAAATATGCCTCACAGAAGAAACCCAGGAAATCCCTATAGCGGTTGTTGAATAAACAAGATTTAACTGCTTTCATTAATTCAACGTGACTAATAAACACACGACTACGACAATATATAATTTATCTGAGTTCGTCTTATTATAATTTTTATTATAATAAAGTATATAATAATGCAATCCTAATCGACATATAGCCTCTGCTAATATCACTGCTTAGAATACTATGAAATATGTTGCGTGCCTTATTCTTCTAAGAAGCCACATAATCTCACAGAAGGATTTATTTTAAACACTCGACTGACGTTATGAAGTGAGTTTGGAGTAAAAACATGTTATTAAATGTGGTATTTTCACGTGCTTTCAGATGGAGCTGCATTTACTACACAGAGCCGTAGTTCACTGACAAGCTATGCAAACAGCTTTCATAATCGCGCGATTAAATCGTCTGCGATTATGAATGAGATTTTGCGTAGCTTGTCAGTGAACTACGGCTCTGTGTAGTAAATTCTGCTCCATCTGAAAGCACGTGCTGGAGATTTACTACTAATCACAGAACCGGCTTTACTTACAAGATACGCATGACAATCACATTCGATTAATCGTGCAGCCCTATTTTGATGAAATAAATGCAGCCTTGGTGAGCATATGAGACTTCTTTGAAAAACATTTTTAAGAAATCATACCGACTCTAAACTTTTGAACAGCAGTGTTAATGTAAGTAAAGAGATGTATTTCAAAATACAATCTACATGTACTACTATAAGTTGTTATTCCTCCTCACCCATAGGTGGAGCTAGCCACGGGACAGTTTCCTTACAAGAACTGCAAGACAGACTTTGAGGTTCTCACCAAAGTTCTGCAAGAGGACCCACCGGTCCTTCCTCTTAGCATGGGCTTTTCCCCTGACTTTCAGTCCTTCGTCAAAGATTGGTACACTCACATGAACTTACTTATACATTCAATTTTAGTACCAGTATCTGTCTATTGTGTTTATGTGTGAGTTTTGTTCCAATCTAAGTCTTCTCTGTCCCTACAGCCTCACAAAGGATCACAGAAAAAGGCCAAAATACCACAAGCTGCTTGTAAGTCTCAGTCTCCCACGTAACTCGAGCATTTGTTGTAGTGCTGTTTTAATATAGCCAGTTTGTATAACTTTTCTGATCATTTGTTCACACAAGTGGTCTTTTTTTCTGTAGGAACACAGTTTTATCCGTCGTTATGAAGTGTCAGAAGTAGACGTGGCGGGCTGGTTCCAGACGGTGATGGAGCGCACAGAGTCTCCTCGCAGCAGCCAGTGCTTCAGCCATCACCAGCTCCACTCTCTTTTCAGCAGGTAGCCAGGCGGAAATCGAGAGAAACGGAGAGATGTTGGGAGAGAAAGAATGATGCGATTTTGAGAGGTTGATTTAGAGAGACAGATGGACAGGTTTGAAATATAAATTATGTAGACGAAAAAGACAGGATGGAGTGGAAATAGACCGTTTGAGAGCGAGAGAAATGGCTGAAACAAAAGAGAGAATGTTAATTTGGGAGTTTGACTGATCGACAGACAATCCTGGGCAGGTTTGATGTAAATCTGAAATATTTTTCTCCTTCTCATCCACCCATCGAACAGGATGGACCATTGCAGTTTAACACAATCACTGTGGCACACACATACATTTACAGTAACACACTGCTTCACTAAATCACGATCACTGACTGCCATATAAAGGTTAGCCACAAGAGTAAGCATACAGTCCGTTCACTTCAAAATCCAAATCCACATGTCATGAAATCCTCCGTAGCCCCTTACTCAGGGACTGAACAGAGTAGTCGAACAACACTGTGCAATGGTGTGTGTGTGTGTGTGTTATCCGTTTATCAGTCCTAGCTCTTCACTTTCCTGTATGGTTTAAGTACACTTAGCCATTAGGCAAATCTAAGCAAATAGAAATTAGTGAGATAATAGCAGTGTGCTATATCAAAAACTGTTTTATAGAAGTGTTCTTTTGCTGGCAAGCATCAGCAGATATTTCAGTAACGTGTACTTAAACAGTTAGTGATTCTTAGTCGTAGAATTTCTAATCCTTGGTGTTTAGCTTGCTATAACTAGTTTGGTCTAGAATTTTTATGTACTGAAAATACATATATTGGCTTAGAGAGAAGGTTGTATATTAAGATCAAACTAGTGGTTGACCGATAAGATGAAGTGTCTGTCCCAATTTAATATGCAGAGACAACTATAAATTACCAATTTTTGTTTGCTTGAGAAGCCTGACTCCGAGACATTGGTTAAACCAATGGTGTAAATTTGGGGCGGGACTATCTGCTTTGTCTGACCAATGGCAATGGGGGAAATGTTCTGGAAAATCTGTTTGAAAATGTTATTATAACGTTTATAAGTAACATTGGTGTTTGTGTAATTCTGTTATGCTAGTCATTCAGAAATTACACACTTCACTTTCATTGGCCGATGACGATATCTCGAAACGCTTCTGTTCATCAGCCAATGGTGATAATCTCAAAATGGCCAAATATTGGACTATGTATCGGTCTATCACTAGATAAAACACAAAAAAATTAGCCCAGAATGTGTAAAGTCATACACAGTGCACACCTCAGGAAGACAAGTGTTAGAAATGGGTATTTTAACAAGATTTAGCTGTGTTTCAGTCTTAGTGTGCAATCAAGTCACTAAAAGCATAGATGAGAGATGTTGTCATAGTCATTTAGAGTGGTGTTGAGAGACATGCGGGGGAGTTGGAGTTTCTGCAGCGAGAGCAGTTCGTTTCCAGCATTTCCTCCACAAGAATGAAAAAATTGGCTTGTTTTGTGAGTGGAAGATTTCTGCTCTGAATCACCTGACTCCTCTTCCCCGACAACCGTTCATCATTTAATTCTCTTCACTGTTCTCTTTTTCCCATGAGCATTTGAGTTCCTGCAAACCAAAGCTTGTTTTTTTTGACACAGCACTGCTTTTTTTCTGCCAAGCTGTTGTCCTCAGAGGATTTCAGCACCTGCTCGTGGGTTGTGCTGAAGATGTTCAGCGACTTTCACAACCAAAGCTGTAGAGTTTGAGATTCACTGCTTTCAAAAGCCAAAATCACTGCTAGACTGTGTGAGAAAGAGTGCGAGAAGAAAAAGAAAATATGAAAAAGATGTAGATGGTAACGGTACGTTGAGACGGGAAGTATGGTGATATATAAGGGATTGAAGAAAGCGTAATGAACGTAGCAGAGGAAATAACGGGACGGGAAGGGAAAATTGGAGGAAGGCATATAGGAAGTATTAAAGAAAGTCTCCAGTGAAGTCTTATAGAAAGTATCAGCTCATTTTTAGAGGTTTGCTGAGGGCTTACAGTTAACAGGTGTTGGTTGTTTTCTAGATCACCGTGTTGTGAGCTATCTGGACGTTGCATAAAAGCTTTCAATTGTTTTGAACCAATGTACCCATTTTTATTTTTAGGTGTTAATTAGTTTGTGTTGTTATGCATTTTACTGTTTTTCATTATCCTTGAAACTGTTATTATCTGCTATTATTATATTTATTTATTATCTTACTTGCTGCTACTGTTTACTTTAGATGCTGCTGTCAATGATTATATTCCCCAAAGGAAAATCCTTTTTTTTTTTTCTGAACCAAATGCATAAAACACGGCAATATCTACACATTTACCAAATAGGAAAATAATTACCTGTAAAATGCATAATGTCATCCTTTAAGAAGCAAGGAGAATGCAAGGAAGTGAAGAAAATTGAGAATGTATAGACCTATATCTATATTTATATCTAGTTTTGTTGTTGAAACTACGCCACTATGCCAACCTCACACAAACATCACCGCTCACTGTAGGCAACTAATAAGAATGACTTCCAGTTATTTGTACAAAATAATAGACACCAGCTGGTAATATCTATATATATTTGAGCTAGATTTCCTTTGTTACACCATCAGCTGTGGGTCACGCAGGCAGATATTTTTGTAATTGTCCTCCTGTGTCCGTCCTGCGGTGGATAAATTCTCGAGTTTTATTTTAATCAAACGCATCAGTTGTAATACGTTCTCCTCTTTAAATATTTTCTCTGTTTTGGTTCGAGATTTTGCCCCAAATTCAGCAGATTCCTTGGGGATCTGATCTTGATAGCCATTTTGGAAGTCCATTAGTTTTCCAATGAATTGGATTGACAAATCAATCAAAAGATCAGAAAATATGTAACTTGCTTCGTTTTTCCTAACACTATATTCAACAATGAGCTGCAACTATTTACCTCCCAATAGTTTCTTCACTCCTTTCAGATGCCAAATAGAATCTCTTAACAGGATACTTGCTGTCGACATAAGACTGATTTCCTGTTTGGTGTTGATGTTCATCACAGATACTGTGGTGCCTGCCTGTCTGTCTGTCCGTCATTCTCTCAGTAGACCTTATAGATAATTCAGCAGCATTACACACCAAAGGTGTCATCAATAAAAACCGATTCAAACCAGTGGCGTCATTAGGATGATTATTGTTATACTAGATGATGCTGGATTGTTATTCTGAGGACCTCGAATGAGGGATATACAGCTTCATGGATGTAATTTCCTGTGAGACAGTGGCGGGTCACCCTTCACTGTTGGGGTTTTATTTTACTCACACACACACACACACACACACACACACACGCCTCTATAGAAATATGATCTGAGATGCTAATTTATATGGTTTATGCTTGGTTTAAAGTGTACTTCCATTCACTGTTTTATGGCACTATTCTAATTTTGTTTTTCATTTGTAATAGTTTTTTTTTTTAAAAAGCGATTCTGAAATCAAAGCACCAGTTGTTTATGTGTGTGTGTGTGTTTTGATTTTCTGAAAAAGGCATTTCTGTGAATAGGACCGAGATATTGAACCCATTTCTGCTGACGGTAGTCGTACATGCCCCTAACACCAACTAAACCAGTGCGTGCTGCTGTTTCATTAGTTATTGTTTATCCGTTTATGCGTGTGCGCGCGTGTGTTGCAGCACCACTGTAATTTTTGGAGTATGTGCTCAGGCGTGTACTTTGCCGTCATGTTGTTTGTGTCTTTGTTGCTTTCTAGAATTGTTGTTATTGTTATTATTTTGTTAAATTATCATGTTGCCCCATCTGTAATTAAACCAAATACTCACTATGCAGTCACTCAAATCAAGTCCGTTTGTGTTTTCCCCCGGAACTTCCTGTATATACACACAACTACTGGAGTCTCCATGACGAGCAAGTGAATATCACGTCCTCAGCTAGAATTTACGATCAATAGAGAGAGTGTTTTCTTTTGTTTTTCTTCATTGAGCTGACATATTTAAGGATTGTACTGGGATTGGGTGGGAGGGATGTGTTTGGGGTCAGATTCGGGGGGTTGGTAGTTTGGAGAAATAGTTTGTCCAGTGCTGTAAGTATATCAATTGCATGTTATGATCTCTGAAGTAACTGCCATTGATTTTACATTTTGTTTTGGGTTGGAGGGGGGAGGGGATACATGTTATTTTTATTTATGAGATATAGAAAAATACTGTACTTTTTTCCAAAACGTGTTTTTAGAAAAAGACACACTATTGCCTTTTTATGTCTGACTTTTTGATCTTAATATGCATTATAGAATTTTTACTTTTATCATTGTTGGCTGATTTCAAGCTGTTAATGTTATTGTGTTGTTTGTATTGATTCTTGACCTTTTGTTCGTTCTTCTTCCATGTTGTATTTGTGTTCCATTGATCTATGAATGAGTGCTGAAAGAGTTTTTAGCAAGACATTGTGTCTTCAGCTGTTAGAAAACCAAAAGTCTATTATTTTGTATGCGTTTTGGTCCTTTGTAACCATTTATTTTCAATTTTGAATACAATTACCATGTTGTTTGCTCTTATTACGGTTATTATTACTATTATCTTCAGGGTTAAGATCACACCAAATTAAGAGAAAAGTGGGACAGATTGCGAGTTGTGTCTCAAAATGTTTCTGGGGAATGTTGCGTCAAAGGTGTGTCTTTTTCTGTTGAAGCTAAGCAATCATTTATTGCTCTTTAATTTCCGGGGTTTTTTGGTAACGTGTTCCCCCAGAGCTGTTATTAGAGCTCTGTTTTGCTGTATGGTTACAATGTGTTTTTTAATGTGGAAACCTCACATTTTTTAGCTTCTGTTGCACTGGAGGTTTTTATTATTATTATTATTATTATTATTATTATTATTATTATTTGACATGATGGAGTTTGGAGCCATGTAGATCACCAAATTCTTTTTGACTTTGATAGATGGATTTTAGAAATGTTTAAACCTGCTAATTCTGTTTGATGCGGCCGTTGACATGCTGTTCAAGTCAAAAAGAACCATTTGTTGGCATATTTCAACAGCTTGAAAAATATATTGCAAAAATTAGAAATGCTTTGTGCCAACAAATTTAGACAACCTTATATGTTCTCTGGTATATGGATATATGAAAGTTATAGAATATAGCTATATATAGATGCAACATTTTGCTAACTTTTTGGAATTAGTTTGATTTAAACTAAAAATATTTGATGTGGTATGTTAAAAATAAGACTCAACTACAACAGCCAAGCACGAATAATGTAGCTTGCCTTATGTGATTTTTTAAAAACTTATTTATTTTGCTTTATTTTTACATTTATTTATTACATAAAAAAGTATGGGGGGGTCCTATCTTAATATATGGAGCAGAAGTATCCCAACCTGTTGTATTGTTTTGAGAGACAGCCATCACAGTTTTCTTATCGTTTTGATGCCCCCTTCCCCACTTTTTTTGTTGTTTCCTCTTTTCAAATGAAAGAAATGCCATTATATTGTGAATACCTCAGGATTTTTTTTTCTTTTGGGAAAAATGAAAAACGTTCAAAAACCTAAAACAAATAAAATACAAAAAAAAAAAAAAAAAAGTGTTTGTGTGGTTTATTTTTATGTAGCCTACTACAAATCAGACCTTTACTGAGGTTTTCTGCCACAATGGGTTGTTGGCGATTATTTTTGAGTTTTCTTTTGGCTATACAGCTTGAAAAATGCTAGCTGGTTAGGGAAAGATATATTTCATAGTCAATGTTAATATATAAACATAAATTATATAAAATACTATTATATTCCTCTGAGGTCCAGGCATGTCAGAATGGAATAATGTGGATATTTAGTTTAGTGAACACTATAGTGTAATATAAAGAAGACTATACTTAAACAATAAATAATACATTTCATCAATTAACAATACTTTTACTCATTGTTCAAGAGTCAGTTAACGTACCGTGTCGTGACTCTGATGCTTCAGCTTCAGTTAAAAATTAATCGTATTTCAGGAAACCGATCTGAAACATACCGGTCCTACTTTTACTACTCTTGTATCCTTCCGCATGAGCTCTTCTCACGCAATCAAGTTAAAGGGGTCATTTGATGCGATTTCAAGTTTTCCTTTCTCTTTCATAAAAAATGTAATCAAATGTAATGAGTCACATTACTTTTTTTAAAAGTAATTTAAATAGTTACGCTACTTATTAGATTTTAAATAGGGTAACTTGTAATAACCTATCACATTTCCATAGTAACCTCCCCAACACTGTGCATAAAATAATTCCATCAGGGTCTCAGCTACAGCTAAATGTTAAAACAAACTTAAAGATGATTTTGTCAGTTTGTGGTGGGGTCTGTGAAAGCTACATGGGGTGCGTGAGAGAGTTTGAAAGAAAAATGTTTTAGCTTATAGATGTGATTTTACTACAAACTAGAAGCATTCTAACTTAGAAACACAACACTACGTTTACATTTTTTTTTTTAAATTTCCAACAAAACAGTTGTTCGACATTTAAAAAGTCAAAATTTTTTTTGTCATTTTGACGAGAAAGCCAGATACGGTATAGAAAATTAAGTCTTTTTTAAAAAATTGATTAATATGATAGAATCATGCTGAATTTACAAGGTTATGTGTTTACAATAATGTTTCATGTATACTCACTGGTTATTGTATACATATTCAAGAGAAATGCATAACCTCAGTTGTTTTAACTAATCTAAAGTTTTTAGTTTTTAGTCTGTCATTATAATATCTTAAAGAGAAAAGTCTTTCACGCATTCTATTTTCACCTGTCTCGGGACTCTGTTACA